CAACTGCATTCACTTGCTGTTAATGTTACAACAAATTATCACAAATGTGGTGGCAAGGCAACGAAAACTTTTTTTTTTAAATCCTACAGTTCTGTAGGTCTAAAATTCAGAAGGAAGTGTTTCTTAAATGAACAAGCACACATTTAAACATGGAAGGACCACTACATATGCTCTCCAGAGTCTGAAACACATTCACTTAGCCACATTCAACAACCCCAAATTCAGCAGGCATCTGTGGAAGGTGAGATTCCTTTCCACTGCTGCCTCAGCCCTCACACTCACTGCTAAGGAGCCAGAGACCTCTTTTTTTTTTTTAGACAAAAGAGTGGCATCCAAAAGATGTGTACTCTCCAAAAAAAAAAAAAAAAAAAAAAAAAGATCTGTACTCTCAGTCCAATACCCTGCCACCTGGGGCTCTTTTGGTCCCTTTCAATAGCCCAACTATATTAGAACTCTATCTGAAATGCTCTTCCCCCAAGCTCTCTGGATGGCTGGCTCCTTCTTGGCAGGGCCTTAACCAGCCATGCTCTTGAAAGAAGATTCTCAGCCAGGCATGGCAGCACACACCTATAATTTCAGCATTCTAGGAGGCTAGGCAGGAGGATCACAAGTTAGCAACTCAGCAACACCTTGTCTCAAAAAAATAAAATAAAATAAAATGTAAAAGAAAAATTTTAAAGACTTTGTCTCAAAGAAATAAAAAGCAGGAAAGGAAGGTAGGTCAGTGCAAAGATTCTAGGTTCAATCCCCAACACTGCCATAAATAAATAAATATAGGGGCTGGGGATTTAGCTCAGTGGCATAAGCACCTGCCTTGCAAGCAGGCAGTCATGAGTTCGATCCCTGGTACCAATAAAAAATAAATAAATAACTAAATATAAAAAATGCTTTTAACTCTAACACTTCTGGGGCTCAGGATTTAGCTCAGTGACAAAGTGCCTGCCTGGCAAGCATAAGGTCCTGAGTTCTATCCCCAGTATCAAAAAAATAACATAACATAAGATAAACAGTTCTTTACTATCTCACAGACATTGCCCTTCATATCTAATTTTTCACTCAGTAATAACAATAGGGGCTAACACATTGGGAACTTACTATGTGCCAAGTTTGTGCTAAACAGTTGCTATGATTAGGAAATGGGTTCAGTCTTCCTCAAGGCTTCATGAGTTAGAATTTAATCCTCATTGTGAGATATTAAGAGAATGGAAATTTAATCTGACTGTGAAATTTAGAGATGGAGCCTTTGGTATATTATTAGGATTAATCAGATGAAAACCCCATGACTGACTTTTAGTGGCTTTACAAGAAAAGGGAGAGACTAAAAGACAAACATATCTCTAGGCATATATGCATGGGCAAATATGTACACACACACACACATACATCCATGCTCCCTGTCTCTTGCCATGTAATGCCCATCATCACCTCTGGGCTCTGACAGCAAGAAAACCATCACCAGAACCATAAGCTAATATAAACTGCTTTTCTATGTATTTCACTCCATCTGTGGTACTGTGTTACTGGCAACAGCAAAATGAACTGATCCTGTACTTTATGTGCAACATCTTATTTAATTACAGTAACTAGCCTACAAGGTAAATTCTATTAGTAAAATCACTTCACAGATAATGAAAAGTTAGGATTCAGAAGTTATATACCTCACAGACACAGGGACATCAGGAAGCAAGCCTACATTTGTAAATACTATTATGTTAAACTGATCTATTAAGGTCTTCCCCTGCCCTGCTGACACCCACCACAACAGAGTATCATTCAACAAAGTTCATCCAGTTATGTGTGGTACACACCTGTAATTCTACCACTAAAGATACTGAGCCTAGAAGATCACCAAGAGTTCAAGCCAGCCTGAGTTACTTAGCAAGTTTAAGGCTAGCTTAGACTACACTGCAAGATCCTGTCCCAGAAACAAACCAAAGGGCCATAAATATAGCTCAGTGGTGCAATGCCTGCCTGGCAAGCACAAGGTCCTGAATTTGATTTTCAGTTACAAAAAAAATTTCTTTTAGTCCCTATTGGCATAAAACAGGTGAATTAATGTACTGCACTATGATTTTTCTTCATACATCTCAATTCACCTCTTCTCCTTCAAATTCTTAGCACAAGACTCAGCTTCTAGAAGGTATTCAACACATCCAGAAAAATGTCAGCACTGTTAAGAGCCTTTGTGACTACCCAACTATGGCCCCTTAGTTCATCAAAGGGGAATGCCCTTTCCAGGGTCTTAAAAAGAACTCAGCAAAATGCACACTAAAGGCTACATGTGCTTCAGAGACCCTAAGAGAGATCATTCTGGCAAAAGACAGCGCTCAGGGGCTGGGGATTTAGCTCAGCGGCATAAGTGCCTGCCTTGCAAGCAGGCAGTCATGAGTTCAATCCTCGGTACCGATAAAAAGGAAAAAGACAAAAAAAAAAAAAAAAAAAAGGACAGTACTCAGTGGGCAGCTGCCCTGCTGAAGGAAAGAACACAGAATCCTACACTTGCCTTTCACAAACAAATACCCTCTGCCCAATGTCCTGTTCTTTTTAGTGTCCAACACCTGAAACGTTACTAGAAATTTTATCACCCCAGCACACACCTAAAGCTCTCTCAAAGGACCACAGTCTTCCTAGTCACCTTTCCTCCTTGAGGAGACAAGAATACCCAGTAACAGTGGTCTTGAGGCCAGCCCTCTAGTATCACCTTCAGAAGCAAAAAAAACAAAACAAAACAAAACAAAAAAAAAAAAAAAAAAACAAGCCTTTTCTGTGAAGGATAAATGGAGTTGCTGGTCTGATCCTGGTTTTTTGGTTTTTCCCACCTCCTGAAAGTCCAGAGCACCTCCAGAACACAAGGTCTCAAGAATCTCAAATTCTGTGTCACTTGGAAATTACTACTGACAAATGCCACAGGGAGTTGTGAGTAGAGGGAGCAACATTCTGGTCTAGCATGACCACAGCCTCTAAAATGAGCTGATACAGGGGCTATGCTTCATGAAAACAAGGAAGCATAGCAAACAGCATTGAAATAATACGGAAAACATGAAATAATGTTCACTGAGTGCCTACTTTGCCATTAAAGATCACTGTTTTTTCAGTGCTGTTTCACATACAATAGCTTGCTGGTGTCTCACAATCTTTATGAGGCTATTAATACACCAGATGCACAACCCAAGGCTCCAAAGTGTTAAATAACTTGTCTAAAGTAATCCAGTAATTGGCATGGTTGGAGTGCAAACCCAGGTTTTCTTGAATGCAAAGTTCCACAACACCATGTACACCACCTACTGGGCGATGGCTTGGGTAATGGACAGGAGTATATGTGAAAGAGCAAAGGATCCCTGAATGCCTAGCCAAAGGTCTGTACATGGTTCCATGAGGGGGGGTCCAGGTTCTGAGAAACGTTGTAAGAAGAATGGCCTAGCATGTTTATGGAGGACGACAGAGGAAGATGGGATGCATGTGCTCCTCGAAGTTCTACAGGCAGGAGGCAGCATCAGGAGTAAAGACAGCCAGAAAAGAAGTCAAATGAATGCCAGTTAACCATCAGTGGTATTCACCTTTACATTTAACCAATAAATATGTTCTCCAAGTCCCAGTTCGTCCATAAAATTCACATTAAGTACCCAGCATCCTGAAGTGCTCTCTTCTTCCCCATCTGCACTGAAGGGTGAACAACTTTTCTCACAGGTTTATGTTTTGTTTTGTCTTTTTTTTTTTCATTTTTTATCGGTACCAGGGATCGAACTCACGACTGCCTGCTTGCAAGGCAGGCACTTATGCTGCTGAGCTAAATCCCCAGCCCCCACAGGTTGATGTTTAAATAATGAAATGTACAATTATTGTACTTTACCAGGGATTCAATCCAAAGCCCTATACCTACTAGACAATTGCTCTATTACTACGCTACATCCCTAGCTCTATTTTATTTTAAGACCATCTCCCTAAATTCCCTTGTTGGTCTCCAACTTGCCACGGTCCTGCCTCAGCTTCCTGAGTGGCTGGGATTACAGCCCAGCACCACCAAGACTTAACCTCTAAAGTTTATCATGAGAACACTTTCTCCAGTTATCTGGAGATAACTAAATCATCTAGTTATCTTCCCTTTCCAGTAATAAGCACCTGGCTCAGAGGTATCATTTAGGGATCAGGGATAGAAATTTCACCCTAGGGGAAAATCTAGAAACAGGAACATCTCTAACTCAGTCCATCTGTTGCAAGTCCAACGTGCCACTCTCATTTTGGAGCTATGTGCTGAGAGAAAAAGGGAACTCGGCCTTTTGCTACTCTTGGGTAAGAATTCCTGTTTCAGGGGCTGGAGTTTAGTTCAGCGGCATAAGTGCCTGCTTTGAAAGTAGGCAGTCGTGAGTTCGATCCCCAGTACCGATAAAAAGGAAAAAGACAAAAAAAAAAAAAAAAGAATTCTTGTTCCAAAAACAGCGTCCCCTCCCCTCGCTGGCTGAAGAGTTGAATTTTAGCCAAATGTGCATGAACAGTCATCCCCTTGTTTTCCCAAACTCCTTAGGAAATCTACCCAGCCAGCGGTTCAGTTCGCAAATTCAGCCCAGCAATTTCCCAGGAACTTTCAGTCACCGAGAAGACAATGTGGGGAGGGGAGCTTTCCCGGCTTAGCTCTCCTAAGCGTTGCCACCGCACAGCTCTGGCCACACCTGGGTAAAGAGGCTTGTATGGGCACTCTTCATATCGGCCACAACCACTCCCAAGAGGCATTCTCCTTCCAAATTACGTGACGAGCACAACAGGGGGAAGAGGCAGTCCTAGAAAGACGAACCACTGCGGTTCCAGCCTTGTTTGTGCCTGCACAGGCGCCGAGCCGCAGCTCTACGTAGATCCCCATCTCGCACTCCCGCCCTCAGCTCCCGCTTCCCCAGTGAGGCCTCTCAGGCTCTTCAAGGCCACCCCACCCCTGCTTCGGGACTCCAGGCCCAGGGCGGGCTCTATACCAGTCATTCATGGCCCCTCATCCCCGGCCCGCCGCTCACCCTCCAGCGTTTCGCACTGCACCAGGTTGAGGTAGTCAGCCTGGCTGAGCACCCCGGCTTTGAGGCCGCGCACCAGTCCCTCCAAGTAGCCATTGTCTACGTTGAAGTATAGCTCCGGGAAGAACGACATGGCTGCAGCAGGGGCGGCAGGACCGAAGAGCCCCAACAGGCCGGCACTCAACGCGACTCCAAAATCAGCTGACGCGTCGTCGGCAACTGGCTGTCAAGTGCGTCAGGTGACGCACAAGTGCCTCACGTGACCCAACCGAGCCGCGTCCGGCTTCCGGGTGGTTTCAGGCGTAGGAACTGCGCGGGTGTGAGCGGCAGACACTCTATGGCGCCTGTGGCGCCTGCGCGCGCAGCGGAGGCGGCCCTCTGGCTCCCGGATTCGTACAGTTACTTGAATGTCCGAGGGCCGCCGCATGGGGTCGCCATTGACTACAGAATTAGATAGGAGCCCTCTTGTTTTCCCGGGTTAAGGTGCACCTAGCACTGCAGGGTCTGCGAGGTAAAGGTGAAACTGGGAGGGCTTCTTATCCTTGCAAAGGTTCCACACTGCTGAACCAGACTCTTCTTAAAGGGGAACTGAGATAAAGTGAGGAGTGGACTTTGCTGAAGGTCACAATTAGCTGTCCGCAGACCTTGGAGCCTAATGCATATTTGCTAGCAGTCTGGCGCCTTGCCGCGTCCAGCTTTCACTGGATTGTTGCACAAGATTCTCCAAGGTTGGAGTGCGACTTTCTTTTGCTTCCCCCAAAGGTCCCTGGTACCCTAAAAGCGCGCAAGTATCTGGCTCAGATAACGATAACAGGCCCTGGGGTAAGGGTGTGTGCGATGTCTTAGGTTAGTGACAACCCCTACCTCTTTCATGAACCCAGACCCCCACGTTCGAAAGAACCACAACCTTTGAATTGGTCCCATCCTTTATTCGCGTTCGCCTGTCTCTGTCCAGATGTCGACCTGTTAGGTGCGGCTGCAAGGGTTTGTAGCAGTACCCAGCTTGCGGCAGTAGCAGAAAGCGTTGAAGAAACGGCAGTAGCATGTAGCGCACGGGTCGCAACACGGCACCTGCTGCCCCAGGCAGGACTCCTGCAGCCTTACACAGCGGCGTGGGGTGCGGGGCTCGCGGTTCTGCGGGTCTAGCACCTGCATTGGCAGGAAAGCATGAATGTGAGCACAGGCCTCCAAAGGCAAGTTCTGGGACCTAATCTTCAATCCATTGAGAATGGTAGTACAGCCTGGTCTGCCGTCACGACTCCCCCCCCCCCCCCCCAAAAGGGAGACTGGAGGTGGGAAGAGTGGTACTAAATGCCCCTGCCTGACGCTTCACCCGTTTCCCTGAGCATTTACCTCTGCCAAAGCTTCAGCCTTCTGCAGCAGAGCCTCTTCTGCTTGTTCTGCAGTTGTCCTCTTCAGCGGAACATGCTGGCCTAGGCCTGGGGCAGGGGATGTGAGCAGGACCCTCCATGTACAAATTACCCATCTCCCAGGAGTAGAGTGTGAAGGGGGAAGGAGGGTTTATACCAGGCAGGCAAGTTTGTAGCCAGTGAGTGTCCAGGCCCCACCCAGCCCCACTCCTGCCCATACTCACCTGGAAAGTCTGGGAACAGAACCTGGTCAGGCCTTCTGATGCCCTCCAGGGGGGCCAACCCCATCTGGGCCCCCTGTGTTACAGGCAATGCCAGCAGCAGGGCACAACTCAGCAGCACTGTGTTCAGCATGGTCTGGCTCAGCAGGAAAACCCACCATTTAGACCCTCCTCATCCTTGGAATACCCTCTAGGTGCCCAAAGAGCACACCCACCCAGAGTAAAAGTCCCTGCCCAACCCGAGGACTTACCTCTGCTTGCCTGTGCTTGCCTAGAGAGTTCCTGGCAACCTGTGCCCCCACTTATATGGCAGAGTCTAGTGAAAGACCCACACGTGACTGCTCTCTGCAGCCACACATGAGGGGCCCTCACTGGAGAGTGGGGGCACACAGTTCAGGCTTCAATCCCTGGAGCCTGAACCTTTGGGTGCTCTATTAGAGGGTGCTTATCTCCCTCTGGAATGAGTCCTCAAGCAGCCAATTAAAGTTTGGGTTCTAGGCCCCCTAAATTTCCCCAGAACCCAAACTCAGAGCTTGGACCAGGCTGGAGCCATTAACAATAACAAGGCTAGCGGCCCTGGGAGCTTAATTTAATTTCTAGCCCCGGAAATGCTTACTTGGGTCCTGTGTGGGATGCTGTTTCCTTTGCTTCCAGGAACTTGGGTCAAGCAGGTGCCATGTTGCGACATTGAAGGGGTGATGGACCAGTGACTGTTGTGGGATTTCTTTGGAGAAAGAGGAGTGAGGAAGATGCCCACCTAGCCAAAAATAGGCTCTCCTGACTCTCTGACTGCATTCCTGGTCCTGCTTCCCCTCCCTTTTCTTTCTTCTGGCTCCTCTAAGACCCCCCACCCCTTTCCTGTTCCCCCAGCTCCTTTTTCACCTCAGTTTCCTAGAAACTGAGAAAGTAGAACGGACTGTTCCCTGGGTGGCCAAGCAGCTTCAGGGTAAAAAGCTTTCAGGCCGCCTGCCTCATTAGTGCTAATGGCTATTCCTTCCACCATGTATTGTCAGGCTTCTGCCTGTGATTGGTATCAATCAGCACAAATCTGCAATGAGAACTACCCATTTGTGGCTGGGAAAGGACACACAGGTCCCCAGTTGTCCCTGCCTTCCCTTGTATGGGGGAAGTGCCTCACCAGGAGGCACTCTGCACAGGGTGAGCTTGTGGCAAGCTTCTTCCACCGACAAGCACTAGTGTCCATTCTGGGATCCGGCTGCCATTGCACTCTCTCAAGATTGGCTCAAAATAACAATTTTTGGTTTTCAAAAGGTTATTTATAACTGCCTGGGTATGTATGTAAGGGATGACACCAAAGAATCAGGAAAGCTCTCCTTAGGACATCCAGCAAAAGTCCAGACCCCTTATCTCCCTAAGAATGGTGGTGACAGTTTAGTGATCCTCACCCAAAGCAGACCTAGTGTTGAGGCCTCTCTGGCCCTGGCATTAACATTTCCCAGAGGCTGTACCTCAGGCCCACTTCAAGACTTCCTTTTCTCTAGAGAGACACAGCATGAAGATATCAGGCCCTCAGTTGTGCTTCCATCCTGGTTGAGTCACTTGGAGCTCAGGAAAGGACCTTGTATGTGTACTTGTATATGAGGCACTTTCCCAAATCCTTATATCCTGGGCCCTATCCCTAGAGATTCTGGCTAAAGACAGAGGAAGCAAGGATTGCATGTGGGTTGGAAAGGTGCTCTGGGGAGTTGAGATAGGGACTCTGGGCCTTCTCAGTACTCATCCTAAGGATATCTTTTCAGATCTGGTCCAAGGCAGCCTCCTACTCCAGTGCTCGGTTGTCCTCATCTGGACACATGCACACAAGTGTATCTGCCCCACAGGTATTGGCAGACAGGGGTTAGGTCACTCACAGGGGCAGCCCATTACCCTGTTCAGGTCCAGTGGAGAAGACAGGCAAGAAAACCAATCATCAGAACATGATGACAGCCAAACACAGTGTTGCACACTTGTAGTCTTAGCTACTTGGAAGGTTGAGGCAGGAGGCTCACAAGTTTAAGACCAACCCCAGGCAACTTAATGAGGCCCTATCTCAAAATTTTAAAAATAAATAAATAAAAAGGACTGGAAATGTAGTTCAGTGCTCCTCATATTTAACCCCTAGTACTACAAAAAATAATGATAATTTACCTCGCCTGCAGATGGGGAGGAAGTTGATTAAGAAAGGCTTCCTGAAAGTGGGGAGGGAGACCTTCATCATGAAATTTGGATAGAACTTGAGGAGTGACAGGCAAGGGACAGTATAAATTCCTTGATCTCCTAACTGGTGTACTGTTTACTATGCTAACTAATTTTACTGCTTAACCCATGCTCTTCCCCATACTTGGTTCACTCAAGTGCCCCATCCTAGTCCACAATCAACAGACTCATTTCTGCTGTCTGGAGATGAGGAGACAATTACCCCCACCCAAGCGCTCCTCAGAGTTGGTTCCACCAGTGAGTCAACCAGCCCTCTCAGTACTCATCTCAGTACTCCCCCCTCCATTACTTGGTCCTCCTCCAACATCTGTAGCTACTGTTAACCGCTACTGTCAGATGTTGTGTGTATTGACTCAAACTGTATCCATAGGAGACCAAAATCACTCACATCAGTCATAAAGTCAAATAGAATCATCCAGAGGAGGAAATAAACATTTGTTTATATTATTTCCCACTTCAACCCACTTTGGCCCTTTCAGTGCAGTGTCACCCAACTATCCTACCCACTAAAATGAGTTTCTTGTCGTAGCTTCCTATGCATATGTATACGCGTAGTTAAATCTGTGTTGGTTTGATTTACCAATTCTATTACAATTAAAAATTTCTGCCTATCATATTCTGTTTTCCGTGGTGTTATGGCTTGAATATGGTTAATTGTGTCTTTCCAAGCCATGCGATTAAAATCTTAATTTTAATTAAAGCCTCCCCCCACTCAAAAAATAAAAAAAAATTAAAAAATCTTACTTCTCAGGGTGGCAGTATTGGGAGATGGAGGATTCTTTAAGAGGTGGGAGGTCCCTAGGTCATGGGGAACTAACTACCTTCTCTGGAGACCCTTTGAGTTCTTGCCCAGAGGGTTGTTGTAAAAGTAACAAGCCCAGGGGCTGGGGATTTAGCTCAGCGGCATAAGCGCCTGCCTTGCAAGCAGGCAGTCGGTGAGTTTGATCCTGGGTACCGATAAAAAAGACCAAAAAAAAAAAAAAATCAGACCCTCCCTGGCCACCCCTCCATCTCATCACTAGAGCACTTGACTCAACCTGAAATCACTTTAGTCATGTGTCTGGCGCCTGCTCCCCACACCCTCCTCAACGCTCTCTGGGCTCTGGAAGTCGGCCGCATCTGTTCTCAGCCCTTCGCTGGCCAGGCGCCTGGCACACAGTGTGCTCTCAGGGCAGATCTGTGAGGCTGACAAAAGCTAAAGGAAGCCCCGCGTTCTAGTGGGTCCTTGGAGCCCAGGCTGCAGGGGCCGAGGGGATCCTCAAGCCAGGTCAGGCAGCAGCATCCGCGAGACCCCATGGCTCAGGCCAGGCTCCTGAACGCGGCAGCGGCTCCTCACCTGCGCGTGGTGGCGGCCGTGCCAGATTGGCCCTACCAAGGTCAGCTAGTAGTTCGGCCCCGCGCCTGGCTGTCCACCCTCCCCGGGGCAGATGCGCTTCAGACTGTCACGGCAGAAAAGATCCCCGGGACCGGGAGACGGTGCGTCCCGAAGCGGGACCCCATCCCGGATGGAGGTTGGGCAGGGTAGTCCTCCCTCTCCAGGTCGGGTGGGATGGCTGAGCGGATGAGTGAGTTTGATCCCCGGTACCCATAAAAATGGAAAAGATAAAAAAAAAAAAAAAAAAGTAACAAGCCCAGCCCCATCTAGACCACTCTCCTTCCTGTTGGAGATGTGGTCACTTGATATCACTGGAGTAGCTAGCATCTATATTGTCTTTTGGACTCTCAGCCTCCCAAACCGAGCTTAAAAACCTAATTTTTTTTTCATAAATAGCCTGTATTTTTATTTTTACCTTTTCTAGCAACTTAAGATGCAATCGCTGATCCCAGCATTTCCTTCTTGGTAAACAGTTGCGTGTTTCCAGGTCTATAAAAGAGCCCCATTAGAGCCTGTTTCCTCAGTAAATGATTGAGGTGATTTTACTGGACAGGAACCAGCCTGATGTTTATTTCAATTTTTATTTTTTATTAATAGATGTTTGTAGTACATAATGTACTACATGTAGTACTCATGGGGAGTTGGAACGTGTACATAACACATCTCAGTTCTTCCTGTTTTCCCTTCCCTCCACTCCCCTCTCCATTACTTGGTCCTCTTCCTTTTTGCAAAACTCTCTCCTTATTTCCTATTATCTTAGCAGAATGACCTTCAGAAATATTCTAGATTTGGCCCCCAAATGTAGCTGTAGAAAAAAAAAATATTCTGGATGTTCTGCTTGAAAAATATGGGAGAACTCAGGGGTGCAGTGTCTACCTAGTGAGGGTGGGGCCTAACTCCAGGGAGGAGAAAGGGGAGAGGGTGTGCGCTTTGTGCCAGGGACCTCTGCATGAAGACAGAGAAGTCTGAATGAATCCCACCCTTCTTCTTTTTCCTCACGCACTATATTTCGTATCCCCAGCTTGCTGTTGTCACTTTGTCCCATGGTAGTATTGGGCACACAGTATACATTTTCTTTAATCTGCACTTTTAAGATTTGTACACCCATCATTGAACAAAACTGTTTGCAGTCTCACTGTTTGAAAGTCCCCTCTATATGCTTTAATTTTGTAACTTGAACAACTATTTCTAAGATGACAATATGTCATTAACTAGTGATTTCCTACTGTTTATTTTTTCTGAAATTCTGTATAACTTGTACCCTTTTTCTGTTTTTTTTCTCCTTAAATAAAATTAAAAAAAAAAAATTTGTACACTCTAGGTTTAATCCCTAGCATTGCAAGGAAGAAAAAAAGAATGAAAGAAAGAAGATAATTTTGTGTTGCACTTTAAGAACATTATTTTTCAGGGCTGGGGGTTTAGCTCAGCGGCATAAGCGCCTGCCTTCTTGAAAGCAGGCAGTCGTGAGTTCGATCCCTGGTAGATAAAAAGGAAAAAGACAAAAAAAAAAAAAAAAAAAAAGAACGTTATTTTTCTTTATTAGAGGTTCATAAAATAATGGAATGTCTAACAATAAACCACATTTCAGAATTTATGATGTAGATATATTAAAGAACTCCATCCTCAAAGGGAGGTAGGTACTCCTTGCCTTCTCCACTAGGGACGTACTGAGGCTGTTGTTTCCCACCATTGGATTTAAAGACCTTTGTTAGTCCCTAACAAAGACCATTGTTAGGCCCCCATTCAAGGGGAGACCTGTTAAGAAAACAGAATCAAAGGAGTGACATTGGTTGCAATGAATGAAAAGCTTGATTTATACTCTCATAAAAATAATTTATTGGCTCAGATAACTGAAAAAGTCCAAAAGTAAGGCTGATTTCAGATGAGATTTGATGTAATACTTTTTTTTTTCCTGTACTGGGTACTGAATCTAAGGCCCTCACACTGAGCTATATCTTCAGTCCTTTTGTTTTTTTTATTCTAAGATAAGGTCTCACAAGCTGTACATGGTGGCACATGCCTGTAATCCCAGCACTTGGAAGGCTGAGGCAGGAGGGTTACCTCAAATTCAAGGCCAACCTGGACTACATAGCAAGACTGTCTCAAACACACACACACACACACACACACACACACACACACACACACACATATACACACACACACCAGGGTTTTATTAAACTGCCCAGCTTGAGCTCAACCTTGTAACCATCTTGTCTCAGCCTCCCAAAGTATTGTGATTGATAGGGGACCTCCAAATGATATAAGGAAAATAACTCCCAACTTGCTAGATGTCAGATACACCAAGCTTGTATTCCCCAAAACTGAAGAATGAATTCTAAGCAACAACAGAAGTTGAGTAGGAAATTTTACTGAAAGAGAGACAGCTCTGGACAGATAATGTTGCAGGCAGCTGAGTTGGTTAGAAAGATTATAGGCAGACAGGGCTAGGTTCTCAAAGGAGCCAGTGCTAAAGCCCAGATACCTTGCAACTGTGGGGGCAACAGATACCTGCTGTGGGCCAAGCCTCAAGACAAAAGATCAAACAAATGCATCCACATCCTAAAGACTGATATTCTAAATAGTTCCCTATCACTCTGAGGAAGCCAGACTTCGCCTTTCCAGCTCCCTAGAGAACAGTCACAGCTCTCTTAGGATGTCTGCTTTCTTCTACGTGACTTGCTTCCTTATTTGTCCCCAATTTAATCAATTTTACCTGAACTACTAATCTTATTGGCTAACGATAGTTATATCCCACTTTATCGGTTCCCATCTGCCTTGTGAGTTCCCAATTTTCCCCCACCTTGAACCCGTGTCTCCCTATGATTTTGCTCTATAAAAATCCTTGGAAAAGACAGAGTCTTTGGCAACACGCTCGGGACCCCTTCTGTCTCTCTCTCAGACAGAAGCTTCCTTTTCAATAAATATATCTACTCTTAACTTCCATTGTTCCTAAAATTCATTCTTCGATTTTAGAGAACATGAACTCCGTGGACACAGTAGGTTGGAAGTTTCATTCCCCAGTATCAATAGGAAGAGACCCAAGTGGGTTGCCATGGACCCCACTTTCCAGAGGAAGTTTTAGAGAACAAAATCATGAGGTGGGTACAATATTACAAGGTGGGTATAACATAAAACAAAACTATAATCAACCAATAAGATTACAAGTATAGCTGCTTAGGTAATGTTGATCCAAGGGGAAAGCAGATCACATAGCAAGTGTACTTGGAAAGAACAAGGACCATTTTTGGAAGAGATGAGTCAAAAGGTCCTGCTCACCCATTTGGGTGACTGATGTCTATCTAGACTTTGTTGATTCCAATTATAGTATATTGCTTATCCCTCAGGAAGGCATGTAGGCCTGACTGTTCCATCTTTATCTTGAGGCCTGGCCTCAATGGATGCACCACCAGCCACAGTTGTAATGTGTTCTCCTCTTCTGCACTGACTCCCTAAAGGACCTAGCCCTGTCTGACTGCCTGTAATATTTCCACCTAATTTAGCTGTCTATAATAGGATCATAGGCACATGTCACCATGCCTGGTTTCTAAAACCTCTGGCCTTGTAAGCACTTAGGGAGACAAATACATCTGGGTGCCTTTCTAGTGCCCATTTCCAGTTTCATTTGGAGCACTGGCCAAACATACTAACTTTCTTGGAATCTCTAAGATTCATAGTGTCTGTGGAATATATTTGTGACCCATGAGCCTAATGCTGAGGACTTCTGGGAAAGTTTGGGTTCCCTGAAGAGGTATTTAAGTAAGTTCATAAAGATAGAGGAAAAGGAAAAAGTAACTTCAAGGACAGTTTTTGCAGTTGTTTATGATGAAAATCCTAATGGGTATCATGGTTCCTAGCATCATAACTCCTAACCCCCACTATCCCACACTCAGCTTCCTGGTTCCAGGCCTTAAGAATTCAGTCCACTTTTGCCCTCTTTGAAATCAAGTAACAGCGAAAGTTCCGTGAGTCTTCCCGGGAAACCCAGAACGAACCTATGCCTGAGAGTTGGCAAAGGGAACCTCCATCTCTTGGCATGTTTTTAACTCTTGAAAGTATAGCCTCTTATTGTTTTGGAAAAGAGAAATGGAATAAGGCCTGATGATTCAACCCTGGATGAGAGTGATTCTCCGTAGGATGAGAGCCCTGAACTATAGTGCAGGGCAGAAGCCCCTCAGAGAACTTTACCTGAAGTTGGAGAAAACTTGACTAGATCTACTGTAGTCCCCTCCCATGCCTCCTGAGATTTGTGAGGACAGAGCCAGCTCCTGGCACTTGTAACTGACCTCTAGAGTGAGCTTGAAAAGGCCTGGGCATTTTTTAGGTAGCCACTAGCTGTAGATGCTCCATCAGAGAACACTGAAGAGGTCAGGCCCAGGATAGCACAGGGGCCAGTGAACCTGTTTCAAGTGTGTTTAAATATGTGGATTCCAAAAGTGTGATGTTCATACCAGCAGCAGAAGACCAGCCTAGAAAATTATGAGACTGTCAATTTGGCCTTCCTAAGATTTTGTAAATCATAAGTTCCCTGGTTTGGGCACAGCTGCCACAAATGATTTTTTTTTTATTTTGTTTGCTTGTTTGTTTGTTGAAACTGAGTCTCACTATGTAGGCTAGTCTTGAACTTGCTGTGTAGTCCAGGCTGGCTCAAGATCCTCCTGGAACTCAAGATCCTCCCGCCTCATCCTCCTGAATTCTGAGATTACAGTCATGTGTCATCATACCTGTCCATGGCCTATTATAAACCAGGCTTCATAACAGGAGGCAAGCAGTGAGCAAATACAAGAAGTTTCACCTATATTTACAACTGCACTCCATCATTCAACTTGCCACCTCATGTCCGATCAGCAGTGGCATTAGGTTCTCATAGGAACAAGAACCAAACTGTGAACTACATACGTGAGAGATGTGCATTGTGTGCCCCTTGGAGAATCTAATGCCTGATGATCTGAAGTGGTGATGCCAGTGCTATGAAGCATCTGCAAAGGCAATATTAGCAGAGAGTTTGGCTGCACAGAGACCATAATAAATCAATTGCTTGCAGAATCACATCAAAACCCTATCAGTGAGTGGCAAGTGACAAACTATCTGGTGATGGGCTTTAGAGTGGCAACTTGATATTCAGTTTTACAGCTGAGTCTAGTGGTGAGCTTTAAGTTAGAATCTGACACTTATTCTACTCTGTACACCCAATAGTTTACTTACCACTTCCATCTGTACCTTTTTCTTGCACTGTGCAGTCATAGTTTTGGTAAGCCTGAAAACTAGCCCTAGTTAATGAGTAAAAAACAAGTATCACCAGAAAGCTGCTTTGAAAAGGGAGAAAGACCCAATAATGAGACAGCCAAAGACTCTAATAATGCCAACAGAAAGGAAGCTATATTTGAAAGAGAATACAAAAGAAAGACAGAAAGAAAGAAAGAAAGAAAGAAAGAAAGAAAGAAAAGAAAGAAAGAAAGAAAGAAAAAAAAAGAGAGAAAGAGAAGGCCAACAGTCCTACTTAAGTTACAGGTTGATTGCAACAAGTGAGCTACATTCTCCAAGCTTGCTCTGAATAATGTGTGGTGACCTGTTATCTAGTAAAGCAATGAAACCTTTAGAACTGCTTCATCATGTGGAGACCAGGTACCAGCCAACTCTGCAGAATTAACCAAAGTTGGAGGGGGTCCAGATACTGAACTCTACACCTTCAGGGTCTGAATGCCACCCACCAGTCACTCAGGCTCAAGAGATGACACTTATGTGTATGCCCCAGAGATTCCTGTGTAAGGATCTGCCCCTCCTCCAACTCATCATCTCTTCTGGAGCAACCCCTCCTTTTTCCAGAGCTCCCCACATCCTCAGGGACTGGTTCCCCAGGTTTTACTATGTGCCTCTTCCATCTAGAGCCTGAACCCCAGGACTTGATCCTCCAAACTCCCTTAGGTAACCATCTTGGGCAACTTCACCCAATGATAATATGTGCTCCTCTTGCTATTGATACCCCTTAAAAAATGGAATTCAATATAGCTTTGTCAGACTTTCTGAGAACTCAGATGTTCTCAGATTCCAGCAAGGCTATAGTGTTGGGGACCTGATCTTGGCCCGCGGATCAATCCGTGGGGTATATACCTGGAGGGGGAATGGGGATGAAATAAAACAGGGGGGAGACAAAGAGAGATTGAAGCAAGTCGAGAGAATCCGATCAAGCCTCATTTATTCAGGAAGTGGTCACATCCTTTATGGGCCAAGGGCGGGCTGGTGGGACAGGAATAGGCTACGGGGTGGTTTCTGATGGGTCATCGTCACGTCCGGGTATGTGACGTAAGCAGGAGAGGATTATGGTTAATGTAGGCAGGTGCATCATATGCCCATTGGAGAGGGAAGCGGGGAGGCAGCAATGGGGCGGTCGCACCGCTCCCTACATCTCCTCCCTTTCTATATTATTTAATCAGGAGTATGGAAGGCCCTGTGAGGACAGCGCCTGTCTTAGGTCAAGGAACCTCATTACATGAACCCAACCAGACCTTACCCGTCATGAGCTTGCAGGACAGCAGTCTGTCCTGTGCCTGTCTTGGGTGGCCAATGGAGTAACATGTATGTCCTAGTTGCCCGTCTCTGGCTGCCTGTCCATTGCCTCAGGGTGGTTAAGTCGCATCATCATATGGACCACTCGTGGGAATTCCTTCCCGGTAGGTTTGTTGATCTGCCATCTCCAGCTGGTGATAGTGTACCTGAATGGGCTTTGCCATAAACGCGTCTATCTGGTTATTAATGAGCATCATAATCCTCTGAAAAATACAAGACTCACAGAAAGGAGAAGCAACAGGGCAGCTAGGGGACCCAAAAGGGGCGCTAGGTAAGGGAAAAGTCCCCACACACACACACATCAAGGAGAGGGAGTTAGCAGCCATTTGTTGTCGTCACTGTTGAAGCCATTCCTCTATTTCTTGGAGCTTGCCTCGCACAACACCGGACTGATTGACATAGAAGCAACATTTTTCCTGTAAGGCAAGACAGATTTCCCCCTGCTCTGCCGTGAGCAGGTCTAGCCCTCGTCTGTTTTATAAGACGACCTCTGCCAGTGAGTCTAATTGATTTTGGAGAGTTTTTATCGTAAAGGATAAGGCTTGAACATCTTTAGACAACTGGTTGGACAGGTCAGTATATTAGTCTAAGGCAATGGCGAGGCCAGCAGTACCCGTGGCTTCAGCACCAGTGATGCCCATTCCCACCAAAAGCGGGATCAGTGTTATCGCTTGTTTTTGGTGGCCAGCAATGTAATCAAGTATTGGCACCAGGACAGGTTGGTCACCTGAGACAATATCTATGTCGGGCAGGAGGGAAGCAGTTATGCATGTACCTGTCCAGTTGGCTGGAATATAGGTATAGGCCCTATTATTACCGCAGACAAAAATGTGTCCTGTCGGCGGGCACAGGGGGCCTGTATGATTGACAAATTGAACACAGGCGGTGGACAGGAGATGGCCCATATCTATAATGGTAGAATCATTTTGGAGAGAGCCCTGTAGGTAGGTCATGGATATGTTGGGTGTTATTAATGGCTGGACTAGAAATGATTGGGAAGGTCTACAGGTAAAATTATGTGGATCACGAGAGGGGTCAATTGTTGAGCTGAAGGGGATGGCTAAGGGCATAGGAGTGCCTAAGCCGTGCACAACCAGCAGTCTTGCGCTAACACAGGGTTAGTGAGGTTAAGTACATGGTGAGTAGCTGAAAGAATATCATAAGTTTGTGTGTCTAAATCCACACCCCGTGATTTGGGGAGAGCTAACGGGTGGTAATTGATCTTTGGGAATAGACTGTCTTCTATTTCTTTTAGTTTTTTCTCAACATAAAGTTCTCTCATTTTGTCTTGAGGACCTCCACCATCTGAGACATGGCTTGGAGCCCTCTTATACCAACAGACCAGCTTGTTGATTTCACCTTTGCAGGAGGTATATATGGGGCTTCACAATATAGAGGGGTTGAGGCCCCAATCGCCTCCAGCTGCTGCCATTTTTATTGTAAGTATGGCTGTAAAATAAGTGGCATTATCTCATGTGGGGCTCAAACCCGCGACCCTGAGATTAACAGTCTCATGCTCTACCGACTGAGCTAGCTGGGCGCAGGCGCCATTTTAAGGGAGCCACAAGGCTTGCCAGAGGCAGGCGCCATCTTAGGGGCACTATAAGGCTGTGTAGCTCGGAGGGCCTGCAATTGAGTTGAAAGATTTTGGCATTCTTTTTCTAGCTGTATCTGTTTTAAAAGATCACTTTTTCTTTGTTCTAATTCCGCTAGCATGTTAGAAGGTTGAGGACAGACACTAAGTGCATCATCATAGTCAGGGGGCGGCTTAATGGCAGCCGCTGCCGCAACAGGGTCAGGGTGGCATGTAGAGGCTTGTTGTGTTAGTTGTTCCCAGTCGACCTCTTGAATGTCAGAGAGGTTGGGGTATAAAGACTTATATGAATCCCCAATTGGCCGCAGAGGCATGGGGGGGGGTGGCGGGCCGCCATCTTGGAACCTGTTGATCATGCCAACAGGGGGAAGTGGTGGCAGATCGCCATCTTGGAGGACCTCTAACAGGTCGTCAGCCTCTGCATCTGAGAGGTCAGAGGCTTCAGATTTTTCTGAGGACGGTTTTGGGGTAGAATTAGCGGAGTCGCGCAGGGCAGCCTCATCTTGTGTGACCGTCTCCTCAATCTGAGGATCTGCATGCTGCTGGGTCAGCAGCTCTGAGATTAAATTCCAGTATGCAAAGGTGGTCACCAGAAACTTTTCAGGACCGAAGACCCTATAATAATCTTTTAGAGCATCTCCTACTCTTTTCCACCTCTTGGTATCTATAGAGCCCTCTAGGGGGAACCAAGGGCAAACTTTATGGATAAACTGAAAATACTGCAACAATTCTTTTGTTCTAACCCTTACCCTCTTGTCTTTAATGCCTTGCTAAGGCCTCTCACGAACAATTTATGTTCGCTCAATGCTTGACCCATGTCCAGGAAAGGGAATGGAGTTGCCATTCATTCACTGTGACTCGGGCAGCACATTGGGCAGTCGTCCGCGCAGGCCTCCGTCCTTGATTCAATGTGCTTCCACTTTTAGCTGACGTTCTCGAATGGCTTCCTCGTTGACTCCCCCGTGCCAGGAGCCCTCACGCTGGGCGCCACTTGATCCGGCCCACGGATCAATCCGTGGGGTATATACCTGGAGGGGGAACGGGGATGAAATAAAACAGGGGGGAGACAAAGAGATTGAAGCAAGTCGAGAGAATCCGATCAAGGCTCATTTATTCAGGAAGTGGTCGCATCCTTTATGGGCCAAGAGTGGGCTGGTGGGATAGGAAGAGGCTACGGGGTGGTTTCTGATGGGTCATCATCACATCTGGGTATGTGATGTAAGCAGGAGAGGATTATGGTTAATGTAGGCAGGTGCATCATATGCCCATAGGAGAGGGAGGCGGGGAGGCAGCAATGGGGTGGTTGCACCGCTCCCTACAGGGACCAGAAAACTGACCCTCATAATTTTCTTTGAGGCTTATCTTGGAATGACCCATCCTAATATTCAGGGTGAATGCTGGCCCATAGGATGCTTTTCTCACATTAGGCCAGAGTTTGGCACCAGGTCAAGGAGTTCGGGAGAGTCTGGAAGAATAAGCTGAGAAGGGCTGCAGCCAACCCAGAGATGTCTTAGATGCAGCCAAAAGCCCCAGGTCCTCTATCTTACTACAAGTGATAAGATGCCACTGTAATTCAAACCCAGAATTTTTTTTCATAAAACCGGCAATGCTGCAAAGGTTGAAGATGGAAGCTTGTGTCCAACTTGGTTCTTTCCAAGAATGGATCCTAGAAGATTTCCTCAGCAGCAAACCGAAGGCCTGGGGCAGGAAAGGGAGTAAAAAAAGAAGGAAAATGGTCTAGCAGTTAATATTCTCAACATCTAGCAACAAAATTGATAAGATTTTCATCCTACTAAAAGTTCTACATGGCTCAACAGGGAGCAGGTTCTGGGCAATTAGAACCAGAATCCTTCTCCTCCCTGGCTCTGCCCTTGTCCCCTCTCCTACCTGAGGTCTCTGGGAATGGAGGACGAGCAGCAGCCCAAGGGCAGTGTCTAGTATGGGCCAGCATCTGGAGGGGATGTGACTCACCTGGCCAAGAAGCTAAGGGGTCCCTTGACGTTGGTCTGCATGTTGGCTGCCATCTCCATGTCTGCCAGGCATGAGACTGTCACTAGCACAGCATTGTTGATGACCAGGATTAAGTCTTCACCTCTCAGAAGCTCCCTCACCCCACTCTCAGCTAGCTAATTGGCTGCAAGGTCTGTGGAATCTTTGGAAACAAGGTAGAACTAGCTTTGGGACCCTGCCTGATCCTACCTTCCCTTATTCCTTAGGCTTCTACTTCTTGCTTGATAGCCCACTTCCTCTTGATGGTAACTTCTGGAACAGTATATTGATCCTAGGATAAAAAATGAAACCTTCATGGTTGGGAACTACTGCTTAAAGGGTCTCCCTTTTCACTACATCCTCCTTGCAATCAGCCGAAGATATCAGAGACTTTACGCCTTCATCTGTAGGCAGTGGGCCAGCCACAGTCTCTCCAGGGAAAGCTCATTTGGTTGAAATTCAGAATATGCAGGACTATTCCTGTGTAGAAGCCAGTTTAAAGAGGAGCAGGATATAAGTGTAAATCAGGTAGAAGCACCAGAGTAGAAACCATGTGGCTGAGTTATGAAAGTAACCATAGCAGGGAATCCAACCATAGGGACAGGAATGACATACTGTTGGATGTGCCTCAGCAAGTTGAAGAACCTGCAGACTTGGTTGCTGTTTCTCCAGAGGAGATACAATAACCCTGGGCTGCATGAGCCTTCACCCCAACTCAATCCCAGCCTGGCTCCTGTCAGCTTCTTACCTGTGCTTGGGGTACATAGGGGTTCTAGCACAAGGCAAACACCAGTTGAGTGACTGGGGCAGTGCTAGCAGCTGCTGTATGAGCTCTCACCCTAGGTCACAGTTGGCATTTGTCACTAGGGCACTCTTGAGGCTCTATTAGTACATGGGACTCTTTATGATCCATCTGTCTACCCATCTTACTGCCTGTGGCATCCTTAAATCTGTGTAGGTAGAAAAATTGATGGGTCTTTGTACTCCCAAGCAACCAATCTCTTTGCCATGGAAAATGGGAGTAAGGGAGAAAAGTCAGCATTTCCCAATAAGTCAACTAGCCAGCCTTCCTGGTAAGCTGTGCAAGCCATGCATGCTCCAAGGAGAGAATAGTCAGAGAGCTTCTCTTGTGAGCTGACCCCCTCTCTCCACCCTGCTCAAGCAACCAGATGGTTCCAAAGATAGCCTCAGCTGATAGTAACTAAGGTACATAAAGCAATTAAATGTTTATATTGTTTGGTTGATTATGCTGACCTGGGACCAACGGTCTGAGCATCTCTTGGGAGGATGATAGTATGCAATACATATATATAGGGGATTCTCTTCTATCTTGTCTTTGAAGTCAAACATTGTTTTCATGGTTCCTTTGTTCTGATTAATTGTTTTTGCTTTATTCAATATTTTATTTTGATTGGTTTTAGTGTGTTTTGTTTTTCGTTTGATTTTGTGTGCCTGATAGAAGGGACAACTATTGTGAAGATAACAAGATATACTATGGTAGCTATTACTGTTTTCCTGCTATCCTGCTTTGAAGTTCTATACCAGTTTTGCTGCATTGTTTTTGATTGCCTTTTTCTGTCTTGTTTTGTTGGATTTTTACTATCTTTAAAATAAAAAAAGAAAAGAAAATGGGGGTAAGTATGGCCAATAATTCAAAGGCAATACCCAAAGAGAAGTACAAAGTCTCTTGCTCTGAAACTGTGGAAAAAGTCTGTTCAAGAGGGATGACATGGCTCTTTTAATGGAGCAAAAAAAACCTCCCAGTGGCTTTTTGGAGGAGGGTTTACAGAAAACAGTGTTTAGGAAAGGGAGATTTGGAGTTTATACATTGGCCAAGAGGCATCGAAGCATGCACAAGGAGCCATCTTGAAAAGAGTCACAGAGGCTAGGCATGATAGCATATGCCTGTAATCTCAGAATTTGGGAGGCTGAGGCAGGAGAATCACCACAAATTCAAGCTCAGCCTGGGAAGCTTGGCAGTTTAGCAAGTTAGCAAGATCCTGTCTCAAAAAGGGGAGAAGTCTGGGGATGTACCTCATGTGAAGGTCGTTGGTTCAATTTCCAGTGCAGAACAGGATTAAGTGGGGAGAGACAGACAGACAGACAGACAGACAGACACACTTCACTGGAGTCTTTTCCTCACCAAAAGCATTTTTCACTTTGTCATTGTGAGGCTTCTGTTTTAGTCCTCTGGTTGCACCCATTGCCCAGATGCCATACCAGGGCCATCCTGGGTACAGCCTCTTGCAAATCTGTCTGCCTATTCTGTCCCCCATTTGCCTCTGTCTAGCTAAATCTTTGTGATGAAAGAAATCTGGTCTTTTCTTTATTTTTTGGGGGGGAGGGGAGGAGTGGATGCCCTTACACTGTTACATATGTGAAGCATGCAGTCTACCACTGAGCAACAACTGCAGCTCTCTTTTTTTTTTTCTTTTCTTCTTCCTCCTCTTTTTTCCTCCTTTTTCTCCTTCTCCTTGCAGTACTAGAAATTGAGCTTATTCACATTGGATAGATGGTTTAAAAAAAAGAAAGAAATTGAGCTTATGACTGCTACGTTATATTCCCAACCCTTTTTATTTTTATTTTGAGAAAGGATTACTAAATTGCCCAGGTTGGCCTAGAACATATGTTCTTCCTGTTCAACCTCCTGAGTAGCTGGGATTACAGGTGTGTGTCACTGAATCAGGATGCTGACCCATCTATTTTTATCCTTCATGACCCAGCCCCTCCACAGGATGAAAATAGCTAAATGTACTCACAGCCCAAAGGGAATGCCAGTGAGCATGGGTGTCTGTTGGACCCCACTACCTTTTTCTGAGTCTTGGAGATATGCTTAAAATTTCACAAGATATAGATGCACTGTTCAATGGAGCACCAAGAAGCTCTCCAGAGATTTTTAGTGTGTGAGGGTCTGCGCAAAGACTTATGGTATTGGGTAGAGAGACTTGGGACGCCTTCTGTGGGCAGGTGCAGTCAAAGAATGCATAAGGAGTCAGCTCAGAGTCAGTTCAGTCCAAATTACATGTAGCCCTGCAAGATTCTTTCCCTCTAGTTAGGGAGGATTCTTTCATCAGTCCTGCTGAACTTCCTCCCTGGCATCTGCCTCCCACTTTCATGCCCAGTACAGAATTATTGCACCATTGTCCAGGTGGTGTTTGTATCAACAGCTTATAGCTCTCAGCTCCCCTCTTATTTGCAGAATTTTCCTTGTCTTAAATAGATCCTCCTTTTTTAATAAACATCAGATGAACAAAATACTGACTGTGTATTAGAACTGAAGTAAATTCTCACCTGGAAGCAGAACAGGGAATTATAAGAACACAACCTAAACTAAAGACTCACTAGAACACCATCTAATGAGTCTTTCTGCAGAAAGGTATTTTCTTTCTCTCTCTCTCTCTCTCTCTCTTTCTCTCTCTCTCTCTCTCTCTGTCTCTTTCTGTCCCTTGGTCTGTCTCTCTGTCTCTGTCTCTGTCTCTGTCTCTGTCTCTGTCTCTGTCTCTGTCTCTGTCTTTATTAGAGATTGAACCCAGGGCTCCCTGCATGCTATACAAGCAATTTACTATTGATATACATCTCCAAGAAATTCTTCTTGCATGCATATTATTTGTCCTGCCTTCTCCAGAGGCAAGCCATGATAATTGTGGCCTGATGTTAACCAAGCAGCCTCTTTGCCTCATGGCAGGACCAGCTATATGGTTTAATTCACTCTCTGGATGTTCCATACTATCTGGCTGAAGCTTGACTCCAAATCAGAACAAATCCATTTCTAATGTTTCCATGATCTGTCTATTTTCTTCATGCCTCATCTATCAGAGCTCTCCTTCAGTAAATCACTTATCCAAAATAGGCAATAGCAGGAGGGGTCCTAGAAAGCAGACCCAAAAGAAAAAATTCTGGAACTAAGCACTTTGCTGATCCTAAGAGGAGAAGGACCTCATCTTCAACAGGAGGTGGCGTCTGAGAGCCACTGCAGGCTATTGCAGTGATGTGCTAAAACAGTAAACAAGGTCAAAATTCAGAAGTAAGATGTGCCTGTGACACGCTGGAGTATGAGGGAAGTTAGACACCTTGAATCAATTGTTTAGTATTATTGGCAAGTTGAAACAGAAAATTAAGTGTTTAAATCTATTAATCATCAGGGGGGAAAAGGAGGCAGTAAGAAGACACCTTGGCAGTAAGAAGACCTTCATGTCATGAAACTACAAGGTGGACAAAGCTGCACCAGCCGTAGGACTCATGTGTAGAATGGCAGAACTTCAGACAAGTCTGAGTTCTCAGTTTTGAAATCTATGGAGAAGCCCATTCCATTCCATAACAGGGGAAGGGTGGGATCCTTTGATTTGCTGCAGATATTTAGATAGATGAATTTGAAAACCCTGAACTCCAGGAATTCCTGACTCTGAACAATGTATGGGAATTAAGGGATGTAATTAACCTTGCCTGTGTTGGAGCAGGGTCGGGGCAGGGTGAACTGCTTGAAAACTACATATTGCCTTCTATCTAGGTTGGTTTCTTAAAGGACAATGCTCTCCTTTCTCACTCTTAGCCATGCCACCCCTCCTAACCAGCAGATCCATCTCTGGGGCCTGTCTCAGTTTTGCATGAAAGAGAAAACACTGACACTGGGAGGGGGAAATGGAAGAGAGAGGAAGCAGCTGCTGGAACTGGTGAGAACTGGAAAAGCAGACCAGGAATGGCTCTAGGGTGATACATGAAGACTAGGAATCTGGATAAAGAAGACTTTAGAGAGGTAAGGTCACTCTTCCAGGATGTAGGATTTCACACTCGGCGACAGTAGACAGTTCTAATACTGTAATGAGATTGCTCTTGGAAGCTTGGAAAATGTGCTGACCCATATTACTTAGTACACTCCCTCAAAATGCTAGGCAAGACAGTCAAGGGTGGTGCCACGTACCTGTAATTCCAGTATTCCAGTACTCAGGAGGCTGAGCCAGGAGGATTGCCTGGAGTTTGAAGTCAGCCTGAACATATAGCAAGACCCTATTTTAAAAAACAAAAGGAATTTTTGTTCTATATAATACTGGAATATTGATCAGCTATTACATCCTTCATGGGGGCCCAATATTTCCTGTGCCGATATGATGTGTGCAGATAAGAGCAACTCCAACAGCATGGAGAGCTCAGGGTGCCTCCTCTCTGTAATCCAGAAAAACTGTTACTGCCCTATTTCTCCTAGGACAAATGGGGATGGGATTATAGACTAGCAGAGGTCATGTAGGAGCTTTAACCTCAGGAGTACAAATTTATGATAAGAATTGGCCAGAATGGCAGCTGGGGGTTCATGTGTAAAGATCTTCCAGGATGAGAGATAGAATTTGGTTTTCTCAGGGGCTCAATACTTGAGCAGTCAACAAGACTACTGCTTAAAAGTTTTTTGTTTTGCTTTAGTTAGGTGAAGTGGTGCACACCAGTAATCCTAGCACTTTGGGAGGTTGAGGTAGGAGGATTATGAATTTGAGCACAGCCTGGGAAACAGTGATTTAGTGAGACACTGTTTCAAAATAAAAAAGGGCTGGAAATGTAGCTCAGTGTGAGGCTTTGAATTCAATTCCCAGTACCACACAAAAATGTTTTCTTTGTTCTATTTTTTTTTTTTTAGATGTCTTAGGATCAAAACTAGGGCCTCTACCACTGAAATACATTCTCTTGTTTTATTGTGTGTTTTGTTTTGGGAAACAATCAACTTCACCTGAGTTGGAGCAAAACAAAACAAAAAAATGTGTAAAAATTCGTATGTCTATAGGAGCATGAAAGAGGATCTTAAAGGAGGTTCTATTTTTTTCTTTATTTTAAAGAGAATAAAACCAAACAAAATAAAACAGAATAGAGCAATCAAAACAAAACAGTGAACACGCTACAGGACTTCAAAACAAGATAATAGGACATCAACAATAATTACCTTAATATATCTTGTTATCTTCACATACCTTCAGATATAATAAAATCAAACAAAACACAATAGAGTAAAACCAAACAAAACAGAACAATGAAAATGATCCATTGCTTCAAAACAAGTTAATAGGAAATTAATGATGGTTACCATCTTCCCTTTTTAGACACTTCCTCCCCTTTCACTTTCACAATATCTATTGTATATTTTGGATCCCACTAACTCTTTCAGCTTTTCGTACTAGGGAGACAACACATGTTCACCTGTGTGAATCCAAACCATTTCACTCACAAGCACGATCTCCAGTTGCATCCATTTACCTACCAGAGTCTCCTAATTATCCTATAGGGGAATAGCTTTCCATTATGTAAAAATGCCATATTCTTATCCATTGTGTTTGATGGGCAAGGTACCCCTTTTTTCTAGTTTCCTGTCGCAAGAAGCATTTCCCTCCTTTGACTTTCAGTCTATGAATTTCCTTTCCAGTTAAATGTTTCTTGTGTACCACATATTGATGGACTTTATTTCTTGATCCATTCTGCCTGTGTTTATTTTTATTGGTGAATTGAGGCCATCTACACTATTAGTTACGGTCAACATGCACTGGCTCATCTCTGCCATGCTATTTTCCTGCTGTTGGCTCTCTACTTTTCTCCTCCATTCAAATGTCTGCCTTGCTCAGACATCTCCCCCTGATGCTGTTTCTGGAACTGTAGTCATTTTTATCTCTCTCTAGAATGTCTTAAAGGAGGCTCTATAAAGGAATATGAAACATGATTATTTCTGGGTGGGACATTCCTGGGTGTGTTTTTCTTTTTTGAGGGATGTTTTTCTTACACCTTATTGTTATGTAAATTTTCAATTTGACAGTCAAATTGAAAAACATCTACTGAAACTGTATATACTGGGGCTGGGGATTTAGCTCAGCAGCATAAGCACCTGCCTTGCAAATACAAGGTCGTGAGTTTGATCCCCGGTACTGATAAAAATGAAAAAGACAAAAAAAAAAAAAAAAAAAAAAAAAAAGAAAGAAAAGAAAAGAAAAAGAAACTGTATATACCCACCACCCAGATCCTATCATTAAATACATGAGTCTGCTTGGTAAGTGTGAGGTGATTAGTTTGATTCCCAGTACTACAAAAACAAACTATATCCTTACTTATCACTTACCTATCTGTTCCTCTATGCTATTTGGGAAATTTTTTGTTTGTTTGTTTGCTTGTAGTGTGTGTGTGTGTGTGTCTGTCTGTCTGTCTGTCTGTGTCTGTGTGCGCACAGGTATGTGCATGTGTGTGCATGCCTGTGCGCACTGCTGGGGATTGAACGTAGGGCTTTTACGCTGAGCTACATCCCTATCCCTTTTTACTTCTTCAGACAGGGTCCTTCTATGTTGCTGTGCTCAGGTTGGGCTCTAACTTCTGGTCCTTTTGCCTCTCAAGCCACATATCACCACATCTGGCCTATTCCTGATGTCCTATAATGAGCACACTTTGCTTATTTTGTTTTGTCTTATGTATTTGTTTTGCAGTGCTGGGGATTGGAAATAGAGTTCTCATGCATGCTAAGCAGATGCTTTACCACTGAGCTACTGCCCCAGACCCACACTGCTTTGTGATAAGAAAAATAATTGTAATTGACAGAAAGTAAATGCACAACCCTTTGGGGCTGCATTTTCACTTCTGCTCCACTTCTACAATTTTCCCAGAGCCTCTCACTTGGTCCCCTCTGTTCAGGTTATGGCTCCACAGCTTAGTCCTCCTTTAGGGATACTGATCAGACTTCTGAAAAACTCGTCTATGCTGAATTATCCTAGACTGCTTCCTGGAGTCTGATTTGATTATAATACAGGAGATAGCAGACATCAGTCAAAACCATTCAGACACAGACACAGAACCCACAACCTTAATCACAGACAAAGAGAGAGAATAGCTGGTCATCAGCAGTCATAGTGTACAGAGAAACCCCTAGACTGCTGCACAACTCGTTTCCAGGTGGGCAGACTGAGCCCTGGGCCAAGGGTATCGAATCTCTCTATGAAAGATCACATTAGCCATAAGTATAATTCAGTAGTCAAAGTAGGGCTGGCTTTTAGGCCTGAAATCTGGGTAGCTGCGTTGGGCTCTCTGCTCAAAAGGGTCTTGTGATGATGTTCATGCTCTTCTGTCACTGTCTTGAAATTCATAATAATTTAGAATGAGGCTTTAGCATTTACTTTTTTTTTTTTTAATTTTTTTTGTCTTTTTTCGGTACCAGGGATCGAACTCACAACTGCCTGCTTGAAAGGCAAGCGCTTATGCCGCTGAGCTAAATCCCCAGCCCCTTGCATTTACATTTTAAACTGAATCCAACAAATTATGGCTTGGGCAAAATTTTCCAAGACTAGGGCAGAGCAGATGTGTCAACCTAAAGTAATATCACAGAGAGCGACTCGAAGGAGAAATGAATTTACTCAGGAATAAACAGGGGATTATAAGATCCAGGGTACATATGCTATGATGAATCATAGGCACACCAGAGAGATAAAGGAAGAGAAGGATTTTTAAAGGTAAAATGAGAAGGATAATACAAGTTGTTTTGCCAACAATTATCCTTGGCTACAAGGATCATTAAGGGTGGAATCAAGGTTGAGTAGGCAGTTGCTAAATATGTATCTTTCTAAAAATATATATTTTTAACAGTGACAAAATTTATTCTAAAAGCAAAAGTGAAGAGTGGCTCTGCAGAGTGAACTTGGACTGAGTAAAGACAAAAAAAGAGTAAAAAGAAAAAAAAACCTACATGCATTGTCTGGGAAATGTAGCATGAGCTGTTATGGAAAGTTATAATAGCCTAGAAATCTTTTTTGATAAGGTTGTGGTAGATTTTGCTCAAGTTGTGTTTATAGAGTCCATGCAGTAGTTTTGGTCATACACATGCAGGTATGAAAGCTCCTTCCTTTTGTCTTCCATCTCCATTTTGCTAGAGTTTGGCATAAGTGAATCCATTTGGTTCTGATGGCTTTTGTGGGTGGGGATGGCTGGAGGGTGATGGCTGTGTCTGGTTTGCACTGAGTCTTCAAAAGTGATGGCTGCTGGGGATTTAGCTCAGTGGCATAAGTGCCTGCTTAGCAAGCACAAGGTTGTGAGCTCGATCCTTGGTGCCAAAAAAAAAAAAAAAAGTAGTGACTGTTGTTACTGTAATGTTACTGAAGGTGATGATGACAGTGAACTCCATCATAGTTGATTTTCAAGCTTCATGTAAGCCTGGTTAACTCCCTGTCCACTCTGCTTTGTTTCACTAATGCATTTGTAAAGCAGTTTTTATTCAGGCCTTCAACAACCCTTCAGGAACTCAACACAAATGCACACCCACTCCACCCAGTTTTCAAATGCCTACTGAGATGTTGCATATCCTCACTCAGATATTAGCTCCATTGTAGCAACAGTTCCTAAAGTCCCATTTACGCCCAGATAATTTCTGTAGATTCTCTCAAAGTTCACATAGATACACACAGTCAGGCCACAGGGATCAGTGTGAGCACATCTTCACGATTCCTTCTCATTTGACAGGTGATGAAATCCTTCTGAGGAGGCAGATGTGAAGGCTGGCTGTGTGCAGACTGCTGAGTCTACAGTTTGCATTTGAACATTTTTTGCGGGGTTGGGGGAGGAACTGGAGATTGAACCCAAAGCTTTCACACTGAGCTCCATCCTCAGACTCAATTTAGCTAAGTTGCTAAACTGCCCAAGCTGTGGTAAAACTTGCAACCCTCTTGTCTCAGCCTCCCTGAGTACTAGGATTACAGGTATGTGCCACCGTACTTGGGACATTTGAACATTTTTAAAATATTAGGAGTGTGTGTATGTGTGTGTGTACCCAAGAAGGACAAGAAGCTTGGCATCTAGAAAATACATTAGAAATATTCCTATAGCTTTCTAGATTTCCATAAAGAGCCAGAGGTTGTAATTATATGGAAATTTAGCAAATTTACAAAGGTAGTTTTGTGTCCTTGTTGGGTTTGGAGATATGAGGCCTTGGAAGCTCTGAAAAGGCTCCAGATTGACAAATCTTAGAAACAACTCAAATACCTATCAACTCAATAATAGATAAA